AGTTCAACTTATCATGAAAAATATGACAATGAAAAATAATGCAGTAAATGCCAATGAATTTCTAATTCAACATCATAAATATTTTGCAGTAGTTAAAATATATGCCTCGATGTTGTTTTCCTACTAACAGAGATCATAATCCTAGGATGCCGGGGGTGCAAACTAACACTTTTCTATGGTTATTACAACGCTACTTCTGCAAACAAAACTAAAATTAAAAAGAAAAAAGAAAACTCAGAAAAGGCTAGATTAGCTCAGCAAAGTACCCCCAAAAGATAATTTAAGGATGCAACATATGAGAGGTAGTTAATCTTTAACAACTAGGCCTCAATACTTTATTCCACTATTCCAATGATAGAGAAAGCCGAGACTATCACAGCAGTCTTCAGAAAACATAGATCAACAGGATAAGCTGAGATAAGAAGAACATGAAATTTATGAATATGGTTTATTACCATGGTTACAAGCTTTCAGAACTGGCCTCTGAGTGGCTGGGCTGAGATTTTGCAGTACATCTGGAAAAGCAAGAGAACAAAACAAACTTAATATAATCATCTATTAACTTTCAGGGGTGTAGCCATATTGCCAACTAGATGTTTTTCCCTTCAGGTTAAATATTTCTGGGAGCAAAGCAGTGTTAAATACTAGTAAAACATTTGACTCAATGGAGAACGTTATGACTTTTTTCTTCTCATTTAATTATGCTACTGTAAACCCAAAAGAGATAAGGTGCATATGTTTCTATAGACGAGTCTTGTCATAACAATCAGGCTATGTTAAGTTCAGTACACTGATTTGCAAAGTGGTACTGACATCAGCCAACTGGAATGAGCATCTCTGTGAAATGTGTCATTGCAAGGAGAGGATTGTGCATGCTACCGGGACTCTAAGGAGTTCTAGCCTGCAGCACACTGTACTCATGATACATTTTTTAAGCAAAAATGTCTATGTCATAATTCCTTAGAAAGTAACATGAGCAGGTATAATATTCACCTTTAGGCCTTGGTGTCCGTTTTCTCCGGTCTCGGAAAGCAGCACCCGACTGCAAGGCCTCGAGCAGACTATCCATCACTCCTGTCTCATCGCCCTCTGTGAAAAGAGATGGAGGGTATTCCATCAGACCCTCAGGGTTACCACAGAAATGTCAAAGCATACATGACGGTAAAAAAGAAGCCCTGTGCCATAACTAAAATTAGCAATTTCTAAGTTAGACAAGCCTTTAACTCACCCATAAATTAGATCTCTCACAATGAAATCAGTTTCATTAGCGTTTGCACTGCTATTCAGTAATGCAGACCAACTGTATTTGATTCACTTCATATTACTGCTTTTTTACAGAGATACAGTTCTACAGAATATGGCTCTATTTATGTATGTGTCGCTGAACCTTGTATGAAACCACAGTCATTGTGAATTACCCATTTCACTTGCAGAAAACTGCTTTTTAAGGAATAACCTTCTAGCCTAAAAGGAACAATGTGCTTAGAACACATTTGTTACTGAAATTCTGTTTTCTGAAGTGATAGGAAAAAATGTGTTTCTCTGTAGATTTTTGAGAGCCCGTCCTCCCTCCCCCCAAAAAAAGATTCATCGTCACATTATTCAAAAATTATGAATTTAAAGAAAAGTGACTAAAGTTAGTGAAAATCATTTGTCTGTAAGAAGCCAACAGAATAACACTAGATTAGAGTATACATGGACAACAATGAACATATTCTTGGCTAATATACAGGATCTAGCTTCTCTCGATTGTTTAACTGGTTAATCCATATTAAATAATTCACCAAATTCAGAGTATTTCTACTTATATTAGGCACAAAAACTCTGTCTTGGGAAATAAGCATAAATATTAGCACAAGTTAGGTTTAGGCACGGCTATGCTTGCGGGAAGATCAATGCTTCAGCAGTCAATCTTCCAATGTTCGATTTATCAGGTCTAGTATGGACCCACTAAATCAAACATTGAGGACACCATCCCACTGGTGCTGGTACTTCTCACTATTGAGAGGAGTAAGTGAAGTCAAGGAGAGCATTCCTCCCATCCAACTCCTGTTGTGCGGACGGTGACAAAGCTTGACGTAAGGTACGTTAAATCTAGCTATGCTATTTACTTAACTGTAATTGTGTACCGTAAACTGTATAGACCTGCCCTTACACATTATTTCTGTACATGCATTTATACCAATAGTACCACAAATACACTTGTTTATATTATCAACACACAGAGCAATTTTAACCTTAAGTAACAAGTTTACAAAACCAGAGCAAATAAACTAGTCTAAAGAACTGTCAATGGCAATTGGCCAAGATGGATAGTGATGGGTTTCCTAGCCTCTGTTTGTCAGAAGCTGGAAATGAGTGATAAGGAATGGATCGCTTGATGTTCTGTTCTGTTCATTCCCTCTGGAGCACCTGTCAGAAGACAGGATACTGGGCTAGATGGACCTCTGTTCTGACACAGTGTGGCTGTTTTTATAGATTCTAACGTGTCTACCTCCAAAGTCTAGCCACTAAATCTTTACTCATGTAGCCTGCTAAATTATACCCGTTCTATTTTATTTCGGATTTTATATAGATTTAAATAGGCTATTAATGCAAGGGGCCTACAGAGTTAATTTTCTCTGTATGAATCAGCTTGAGAAAAATATATATCTGGTGACAAGTTAAGATTTATTTTTCTGTTATTTCCCAAGAGATGTGTTAGGCAAGAGATTTTGCGGTTGGTGTGACAAGTTATTTCTTAATTTTGATCGGAACCAACAGCAAAATCTGCCAAGTAGTAGTAACTGGTTCCGTATAAAATCAGACGCCAGATTTCCTGGTCAAAACTGCAATTTGCCGCCTTTTCTTAAGCAATCCTGGGATGGAGCCCAAGAAAGTATCAGTCATGTCTGATGAATATTTATGAATTCCCCTGTATTTTCTCCAATTAGAGATAGCACCCACAAAAATCTTAAGGTACCAAGACCAACTATGGGCAAGGCGATGAACATCCAGAACATTTTGGTGCCAAAAAGGGTATTTAGGCCTAGGAATTACGGAGATCAGGGCTGCTGCTTCAGCCGTTGCTGACAGGGGCCACTCTGGAGTGCTTGTGAGGTCAGAAACCTTATACTTATCTTTAATCTATCTTTGTATTTTTTTTCTTGCTTCTTTAATTTTGTATAAACTTGCTTTAGATATCTTACATGCCGTCTGCACCAACGCCTTTCAGGCGAACGGAGGTTGGCCCTACATGGCCTGCCTCGGGGGCATTGAGATCTTGTGGGTATGAGATATTACTGAATGATTAACTTCTGTATACCTAGATAGTTTTAGTTTGATTTTGTTAATGCCATCTGGGGAAAGTATCCAGTTAATCTGTGTCCTGACGGCCATATTAATTGTGGTTGTTATCATTGGCAATTGTTTTCTATTTCATTTCCTGAATTAAAGTATAGTTGCTGTCAATTGCATGGGATGCTCCCGAGGGGGAATCTTATGATGCCACCCCAGTGTAACTTGGGACAGAGGGGATGAATTTATAACTTCTGGTCAGACTGGTGAGCCTTGCCCATCCAAATTTTACTAGAGCTTCTTCCCAGGCTACACTCCATTTGAGGGGCATAAACAAAAACTTCTGGTCACAAGAGATAAGTTGTTTGGGGCTGTATTCCAGCAAATAGAAGAAAGAAGCCTAAGAACTAAGGAGGACACATGAGTTGGTGAGCTAACGTATACACATGAACAGGGCTCGAAAAACTTCAGCGAGAGCTACTCACCAGCCCCGCACCGCGCATGTACTGGAACAGCACTGTGCATGCGCATAGCACCAGTGAATGGGGTGCACGGAGCGACCAGCTGAAATCTACTCGCTACGGGCGAGTAGAAACAGCAGTTTGTCGAGCCCTGCACATGAAAGATGCTGTCTAAAAGCTGCTTATCATCATGATTTCTGGCATTTTAGCTTCTAATGTAAGCTAAAATTTAATATTCCCTTCTCCCCTCAGAATCCTCAGAAACAAAAACACTCCCCCTAAATATAACTTCTCCTGACAGAGACAAAATCGCTACTTCACTACTTTAAAAAAAACACATACATTTAAAAATAAAAATAGGAGCTATAAAATATTAGTTTTCCAGCCTCAAAGCTAGGTAAAACAGTCACCATTTTAAACAACTCCATTTCAAATGTAAATATATGTTTTTTCACAAATATTCTTGTAACTTGAAAATTCTCTGTGGTACCAACAACATATGTAATATTAATATTAGGGGCCAAAGATCAATCAGATTAATAACATTTTCTGTAGCTACACAATGAATTGCATTAATTTTGTATCACTGGGTCTTTCACCTGCATTTTGTGCATTAAGCAATCTGCTGCTGTAAGACTACTTATAACTTCAAATTGCTGTGCAAGATTAGTTTCCCCTTCCCCTGAATACCAACATTCTCTTTAAAGTTACACTGGTCTGAAGGAGAGGACAGACTGTGGCACGTTTAATATCCAGTATTGCATGTCTATTTAGGACTAGAGACAATGATTTTCGTCTCTCTCTTTCTCACATGACATAAGAATGGCCATACTGGTTCAGACCAAAGGTTCATCTAGTACAGTATCCTGTCTGCCGACAGTGGTCAATGTCCGGTGCTCCAGAAGGAATGAGAAGAGCAACTATAACTATCATGAGATCCCACCCCTGTTACCCATTCCCAGCTTCTGACAGAGGTTAGGGGACACCATTCCTACTCATCTTGGCTAATTTTGCATAATTAATTAAGCCCTCTCTCCTTTCTAATGTCATGTACAGTCACACAAAACCCCATTATGCCTGCCCATTTTGAGCATGGGCCTTGAAGAAACAGGAACTGTTATTCTCAGGCTCATTTCATTATGATATCTCCCAATCTCTTTCGCTCCCCCTCAGAGACACATACACCATTCACATTTTCAAAACCTCTGCCGACTTGAGTATTAAATTAAACAGTAGTACTCAAAAAGATGAACTGCAGCATAATCTACTACTACACTATACAAATACACAATGCAGACTAGCAACTTTAAGTAATTGAATATGAATAATGTAATTACCAGGAAAAACAACCTTTAGAAATGCAATCATTAATGTCATTTGAGGATACTATCCATTTTTCACACTTGAATGCAATATACTGTATTTACAAATTAGGCTACCGATAAAGGCTTCAAATTATTTGAAAATTAAACCTATTGTGTACATATTTAAAAACCTCAACTGTGTAGTAACTTTTCCTTCTGTATAGATATATTTACAAAACCAGCTTATCTTAATTATTGCACATAGTTTACCAACAATTAATTTTCTCCATCCAAAACAGAATGCCAAATCTTCAAATTTCTGTGTCTACAATTAACCACTGATCTGTATTCTGGCCGCTATCGTAAGTACTGATATAATCCATACACATGAAAGCAGGTAACTAAGTTAGCATGTAAGTATCTAAATACATATTTAAGGACCTACTTTTATGCAACCAAATTTGCAAGTTAGTCCAAAAGATTTAATAAACCAAAACATCATACAATATTCTTAAAAGATTAATCATGGCATTGGGCAAATCAAATGAAACTCTTGTACACAGTATTGCTAGAGATTCATTGACCAATATCACCACAAAAATAACAGACATTGTTAACTTTAGAGGCTGACAGACCTTTAAGGCAACTTCTACAAGCTCCTAAGGACTGTTGGATATGCATCCTTGGCCCCTAAGGGTTTTTTTTTTCATTTACAGAATCAGTAATACCAGGTGATTTGTGGGTAGCTATAATAATTCAAAATAGCCACTTGTAGAAAACTCCTAGTGGAGGGTATCTCCATTTCCTCATTCAGTCCCTTTTTTAAGGAATACCAGAGAGTTCTTATTTTGGGAAGTTCTTTTTTTTTTTTTTAATAAATGTAACACCGACAGTTGATTGTCCTCCTTAGGGTACGTCTAGACTACAGGGTTTTGTCGACGGAAGTTTTGTCGACAGATACTGTTGACAAAGCTTCTGTTGACATAGAGCGTCTAGACACATTCAGTTCTGTCGACAAAGCAAGCTGCTTTGTCGACAAAACCCTGTA